GACAGGGTCTCACTATGTAGTTGAGTCTGACCTGGAACTCACTATGTAGCCCAGGCTGGTCTCAAACTCCCAGCGATCCTCCTGCCTCAGCCTCCCGAGTGCTGGGATTACAGGTGTGCGCCACCACGCCTGGCAGCCCTCTCTCTTAATATGCACAACTCCTATACTCCCAACCTCTCCCAAATTCCTCCAGTTACCCCAATCCTCAAATTCCCCACCCCAAACTCCTCAACCTTCAGGTTTCCCCAACCCCCTTAAATCCTCAAACTTCCCAGCCACCTTATTCACCAACTGCCACAACCCCATAATCCTCCAGCTCAGTCCCTTATATCACCCAAACTCCACACCCCCTCAAACTCTCCCAACCCTTTGAAGCCCTAAACTTCTCTGGGCCCCCCAACCCCAAACCTAGTACCCTAATCTCCATTAGGTTTCCCAAGTCAGCAGATAAAACTAAGCTAGGGACTGCCTGACCTCTCTTGCCCCCAACAGAATCCACCATGGCCCCCTTTGTGCCTCTGGCTTCTGGCATCCTGTTGTTGCTGTCACTGATAGACCCCAGCAGGGCCTGCACCTGTGCCCCACCCCACCCTCAGACAGCCTTCTGCAACTCCAACTTTGGTGAGTCTGGCCCCTTCCAACCCACACTTACCCTGCAGATCTCTGCTTTAACCATACCGGCTTCCTCAGATTTCCATGATTACACTAGGTCCAAGCCCACCTCAGGACCTTGGTGCTGGCTGCTACCTCTGCCTGGCACACCCTTCCCCCAGGTATCCAGATGGGTGTCAGCCTCAGAAGTCACCTTCTCAGGGTGGACTTCCTTTACCACCCTGTTTAAAATTTTAGTCCCTGATCCCTAGTACTCTTGATCCCTGTTAAAGAAGAAAAATATTTAATGATAGTTGTTAAGGCCAGGTAAGGCACACTATTTAGGAGCATCCAGGTAGGTATGAGGGGCCATGGCAATGAAATTTTGCTGTAAGAGAGAAAGACTGGATTCAACTTCCAATACAGCATGGGCAAGTGAGACTCTATAGTCCAGGAACAGGGTAAGGGTTACTGAGTGGAAAATTACTAAAAAGAAACATCAGGGATGAGGAGGATTCTAGCTAAACCAATCTAACAGGATTCCTGCTGAAGATAGGCCAGGGTAACCAGACATCACCTGAGGGGTGGTGGAAGATGAGGAACCTCTTCAGACACTGAAGGGAATCAAATGGGGTGAGGGGTTCTCTATACTGATTTAGCAGGATTTTGTGCTAACACTATTTTTTACAAATTGCGTAGATGGGCCTGGGAGGAGCCAGACTACAGTTTGGTAAAGCAAAGAATTTTTGTCTCCCTCCCCCACTCAGCTCTGTTTCCCCATCATACTTCATATCTTCCAACATCTCATACACTCACTTGTGCATGTGCAGTCTGTCTTCTCCTGGCTAGAACGTGAGCTCCACAAGGGAAGGAATTTCTGTGTTTTGCTCATTGTTGTGTTCCTATTACCCA